CCCCCTTGGCCCTGGCCTCTACCTCCTCCTTGCGGCCTCCCTCCAGCCGCGACAGCAGCGTAGGCTCTCCCCTGACTGACACTAATGTCCTCATCCTCAAGCCCCCACTCAATCTGCTCGTAGGGGACTTCGTCTAGACCACCCTCATCTAAAGTAAGGATCAAGCGATCCTTGGTCTTGACATGTCCTACGATGGTTCAACCTTTCAACTTTTTGCCCTTGTCTAGGTCCTTATGCCAAAAGGTGGAAATTGACATGGATCGCGCTTCAAAGGCTACCACTTCCCTGCTCAAAGTGTCGTAGGTCATGGTAGGTTGCTGACTCTTCTCAAAGAAATGCCCGCGCAGCTGTTCGAGCATTGCACGATAGAAGAGGTTGACCAGTTGGGTCTCAGTGACCCCATGGTCTGGGACGACGACTAGCTCGTCCATCACACCCTTGAGTGCTCTAGCACTCTTCCACTGACGAGAGTGGATGGTTTGCAATCTATCGGAGGCTTTGACACTGCGTGAGACATCTGCGAATCGTTCGCGCAATAACTTAAGGAAGTTAGTGAGGGGACTGAACGCAGAATAATCATCATTACAGTTGGTGGCGCGGCACAGGGAACGGGTGAAGCTTGCTGCTTCGCCTCGGAGGGCATGGACGGCTATAAGGACATGCTCGTCCGGGGAGACCTTCTGCAGATGTACGTAGGTTTTGACATTGGCTTCCCAATTGTCAAAATTCTCCTCTTTCTTCTCGCTATAGGAGTCAGGGAACTTGACCTTGACAGGCTCCCTTCGGGGACGTGCTTCCTCCTCCTTGGGAGCAGTCAGCCTGTCGTCTTCTATGGCGCCCGTGCAATAGCGCTCTGTGCCCTCTAGGCGGGCCTTCACCTTTGAGCCCACCTGCGCCACTAATTCCCTTGCAAAGTCCCTGAGTCCCAGCCGAGTCCCAGCCGTATAGAGCGCAAAGCAATGTCCTGACCTCTACCAAACAAATATTGTTTTTCCTGGACCTGGGCCAGGCGCTCTATGTTTCTCGCCATGATCTCCATCTTCCCAGTAGGTCCACCTGCGTCACCATCGGCGCTCTTTGCATCTTTACCTCCTCCAATTCTTTCGCCGCCTGGCTTGCCGCCTCCGTTCTCCTTTTCTTCTCCCTCGTCCGTCGGAACTTCCACTCCATCCTCTTCTCATCTTCTATAGCCTGCCGCTTGCGTGGGTCTTCTTCTGCATCCCACTCTCTCATGGCCGCCTCTTGTTCTTCCCTGGGCACATACATTAGTGCCTCCTCTTCTTCTCCTAGGGATAATCCAGCAACCCACTCTTTAATCTTCTTCTCTATCTGATCTTCCTTTGTTCCACTGGATTCTCCTCTCCCTCTTGTCGTTCGCCTTTACAGTGGTGGTTCTTCTACCTCTTCCTCCTCTTCTACTGCCTTGAGCTTCTCTGCTTCTTCTTTCTTTAACCTCTCTTTTTCTCTGGCCATCTTCTCCTCAATCTTCTTCGACTTTGCTACCTGTTCTTCTATCAAGGCCTTCTTCTTGGCCTCCTTCTTCTCTCTTCTCTCTTTCAGGATGGCGGCGGCCTTCGCATCCTGCTCTGCTGTATAAGGGGAGGTGCTCGTTCCTGTACGCATGTCTACCATGGTGACAAACGCACAAACAAGTGACGGTTCCGCTCCTCACCACTTAGACGCCCCCCTTGACCGACTTACGTAAGACTGACTCAGTCTATGGACCACAGGATCCGTATAGAACCCTGTCAACTATGGTCTCTAGCCTGGACTCCAATACTACAGCCGTCACTACAGGATCTGTTGCTGACCAGGAGGCATTTTAGGAGATCCCCCATAACTTCTCAGGAATTCTTTAACGCCGCAAACAGGACGACGCGGTCAGCAGATCCTCTCAAGACTTAGACGGCCCGTTGTGCAGCCCACAACTCGAATTTTGGGCCTACCGTGCCACACCGAGCAGCCCGCCGGTCAGTACCGGTCCTTGGGAGGGTTCGTGTCCTCCGGGACAGTCGAGTCGTCAGACACAGTCTTTAGCCCTACTCAGCCCGTGTGGGTTTGGTCAACGAGGCCCTATCCTTCATACACGGAGTCCTATCACCTGGACAGAAGAGACTCAATGAAGAAAGAAGAGACAGACAAACTCAGACTCAGCAAGTGCCATAGGGGAGTGCACATCAATAGGGCGAGGGGATAAGCTAAGAGCTTGGCAAAATTATACCAACGACAGCTTGGTCAAAATCGTGGTCAACGGCTCTGGTCAACGCGGTCACACCCCGGTCAACGCTCCGATCAACCCTCTGGTCAACGCCCAGTCAACCTCTAGGTCGGCTATGGCTGTCGGCACCTTCTTCCTCGCCAACCTCCCTTCTCTTCCTCCTCCACCTTTCTTTTTTCTCGCCCTTTCTCCTTTTTTTTTTTTTTTTTTTTTTTTTCAGTAGTTGACGCAGATCCCAGGGCTCGATCCCTTGTCCCCACCTTACCTGTGTCGACCCGTAGAGTTGAACCCACGACCTGTGTATTTGTAAGAGTTGATAGGCTGTCGTAGGTTGTAGGGGTTCGATCTGTAGGTCTGTCGAATAGAAGTCTTAGTGAAGTCTAGAAGTCTTAGCTGTAGCCTTCTAGAAGTTCGGCAAGTGGTCAAGTGGGCAAGTGGTGAGCCAAGTGGTGGACCAGCTGCAGTACGTTCGCAGTACGGTAGCAGTAGGATAGCAGTGAGTCCCCATTAAGTCAGCGGTAAGGTCCAGTCAGTCCCAGTCCGGTCCAGCAAGTACCACAAGGGACTGTGAGCACCAAGGGTCGATGGAAGCAGCGCCCAACCATTCATTCATTCCTGCGTGAGCCATGCAGAAGCGCTGCCACAGCGACTTGTGCAAGGAGGTCTGCAGTGAGCCTGGACCCGAGGTGGGCGAGAGAGAGAAGGAGCGTAGCATAGCGATAGGGTAGTTGCGGCAAGAGCCGCCATAGCTAGAGTTAGTGTGAAGTGTATGTGTGTATGTGTGAGTGTTCGGAGGGACGCGTGTGGGATATCCAGGGTGATCCGCTCTATGTGAACAATGAGTTGTTTGGGCGCTGAGTCGCCATAGCCATTGGAAGTGAACTCTTATCTGGGTTGCCATATCTCTAAGTTTGAGTGGGCGCATGTCGCCAGTTTGCTGAGCTACTGTTCGCATGCATGTAAAGTGTGAATGAAAGCAAGTCCGATTGCATTGGTATCGAAGCTGGTACCCGCTATTCCAAGCGTCGAGTTGTGTGTCGCACGAGTGATGCGCCATATCAGAGGTGGCCGCCGAGAGTCATAGTCCGCCATAGCGGACCTGAAGGTTGGAGAAGGCGCCGCACACCTACCGAGAAGACCACGACGAAGAAGAAGACCGAGAGAGAGAGAGAGAGAGAGAGAGAGAGAGAGAGAGAGAGAGAGAGAGAGAGAGAGAGAGAGAGAGA